TGCAGTTGGCCAAGCCTTGTAGCTAAACCAGGTCCTGGAAATAGATGGTTCTTGATCCATTTCTCTCTTTTTCTCTCTCTCTCTCTCTCTCTCTGATGAAGCTTTACTAGTTTAGATTAAATATATATCTTGCACATCTAAGAAATACTTTTAAATTTAAAATTCAATTATAAAAAAAATGGGTCATGGGGGGGGTGGGGCGGCACCTCTATTAGCTAGGTACCACTGATGTAAAGCGAGTAGAATTGAAATAATATAATAATGCAATATAAAAAGCAGCATTGGTAGGGATGTAATCCAAGAAGAAAAACTGTTTAAAAAAAAAAAAGGTAAAAAAAAAAAGGATTAATTTGAAAAATAATTTCTAAATTAAAGGGATTATCAAAGTTCAGCAATGTTGGCAGTGTGAAATAATAGTACAAAAGGATCAGAAAGTTCAGATCTGTGTATGCGTGATTCAGAGTTCAGTTTAGAGTTCAACAGTCTGATGCAACGAAGAAAATGATGTTTCAGAACCTTCTGGACCTGTATTGAATGCTATAAAGCTTCTTCCCAGAGGGCAGCAGGGACAGCAGTCCATGGCGGGGGTGTGAGGGGTCAGTATGGGCTGATGTCCTGAATGGAGGGAAGAGGAACCCAGATGAGCTGATACATCCATTATGAATCCTCATGAATTGTCTCCACCTGGTAAAATAAATAAACATAAATAAATTCCAGTGCCAGAGGGCTTTTAGACTCAGTCTAAATACCTGTGCCTGTAGCTCCTACCTCCTGTTCCTATCTGCTATTCCTTCACCTTTCACTGGGTCAGCATTAGGAGCTCTATCCAGGGTAGGAAGGACCTCTGGACTGCTGTGGTGATTCCAGAAGCCTTCAGCATTATGGACGTCGTTAGGGACGTGACACACGGGAAAGATGTTGGTTAAACTGGGACTACAGCCTTCTGGAAATAACTACAACAAACAAAAGCTACACACATTTAGCAAATGGCTGAAACTTATGAATCCTAGAGTATATGAAAGTGTACATTACCATGTGTCACACTGAGTACAACTGAAGGAATATTGGATTTTCTAAAACTCTCAGGTGGGCTGTGCCTATACGTCCTCCATTCAAAGGATTGTGGTCCACTGTGTAGCTCCCAGCGACGGCTAAAAACACTAGGATCTTCCTATGCTAACCCCAGTGACGTTAGGAAGCATCCTGCTTCCTCATCCTAGCTTCTCCCTTACTGTCAGCATTATTTAGACATATCTTATTATGGCAACCCCTAATGAATTTCTGCCATGGCTTATGTGTCCTTACCCTTTACAGGTATTTTGATCAAGCCTTAGATTCTGGGTCAAATCAAATGGTTGAATTACCTCCCCAGTATGCAGTCAGTTCCTCTACTATCCTCCTAATCATCTACTTACTTGATTCAGGTGTGTTGGATGGAGGACACATCTAGATGTTGTAGGATACCAGTCCTCAGGACCTGGAATTGCCCACTCCTGGTCTAACCGATTCTCGATATGTGCTGCCAATATTTGGGGGCTGATTTCCTTCAGGCCAATATTGCTTTTTTCTTCTTCCATTTAAATCATAAAAAATATATAGTTAATACAATACAATGATGCTGGATAGCAAATAGAGGGACACAAGTACTTCACGCAGCCTGAGGCCTCTGATTCAATAATGAATCGGCTAGCACATACAGTAGTAGCCATTCAAAATGTCCCTTCTTTCCTCAATGGGCCCTTGGCTGGTCCCCTAATATTACTTTTTAACCATCAATATTTGTACTAAAATATTCGTTCTGTTATGATTTGTGGACATTAAGATCTAAAGAAAAGTGTCATCTCCTGGTCAGAGCCTGTAATTCAGTCAAAGGGTGGAGTCAGATTAAAAGACATGAGAAGGAGAAGGCCACTGGCTGGAAGTTGGAGGGGATTTTCTTGGGAGTCTCTGGGGAGTGTGCTGCCATCCGGCTGGCGTTTGACTGGGAATGACAATTTCTAATAGCTGCTACTCTAATGGCCGATACAAGAAAAAATACAATTATCAGCAAAAATATGAGCTTTTTTAAAATCAAATTGTGTCATGTTCGGATTAATGTGTCTAACCCACATGCAGAACACTTGGAGGCAGATGAAAAAGTTCAAAGATTTAATAATAATAAATGTACAAAGTATGTTCAGATCCAAGAGGGGGCTTGACTGGTCACGAGTGGGTTCACTGCTGAGGAGGACAGAGAGATTAGTGGAGGTCCAGGTCTTTTGCAGGTTGTGAGTGTTCAGGTCTGTACCTGAGCTGCAGAGGGGGGGGAATCTAGAGGGTCCAGAGGTTGTCGGCAGGCTGAGGGCAGAGGCGGAGGCAGAGCTTACTG